AGCCCTTCCTTCTTCCCTCACACAAGCTGTTTTATTTTAAAAAATATGGTCACCTGGGAGGGGAGGGGGAAGGGTGTCAGAGTCTTTACTTTTCTTGTTTACTTCTCCCCTGGGGCTGGAACCACTGCTTCAGGGGTTTTTTACTCCTTTCTGGCTGCTTTGTTTTTCCGTGTGCCCTCTGGTGACAGTTTGCATTACTGCACCTTACCTCTGAAGCAGCTCATGCTGGTTTGCTGACCTCTGTGATTAACGCAAGTTAATTTTTTTAATGCATTAATTCTGCCCTGCACTAATTGCAAGCACTAATGCCCACTAATTGACAGCCCTAGTTAATATTACTACGCCATGGTAGGATTAGTTTGTGTATAAGTGGGTGTGTTTCCATCAATTTCCACACAAAGTAAAGTTATTTATAAGTAATTAGAAAGATAAAAAGATACAGGTTTGTTTTCACCTACTTACAAATATATTTCACTTAGTTACATTTCAGTTAAAACAGTATTAAAATTTGACCTGTTCTGATTCTGGTGACATTAGTAACAAAACTCCCCTTGATTTCTTTTGTTTGGAATTAACTCAAACTTCTGAGTGCAAAAGTTTGAATAGAAACAGAAGGTTCAAATACATGTACATTCTTATTTTTTCTTGAAGCTCATGAGGTAGAAGCTTTGAAAAATCCTGCTTATACAGGCTGAGTAGGAGGTTGTCCCAGATGAATATCCAATTCTGTGAAGATCTGCAGAATTGTTGATCGTGAATTATTACAAATTGCCATTATAAATTACATTGAATAGCTATTGGTCCAAGGAAAGAGAATCAGTGTGAGTCTGTAGTTTGGTGATTAGGTAACTCAGTTAGGACAACTAAGTCCTTTCGCCAGTGTTTGAAACTGTTCCATTATGTATAAATAAGCAAATAGGGAGTCTCTGAGCCTGCCTGAGAATGTCTTGCAGGAGAGCAGCTGAGCTACTCAGCTACAACGTGGAAGACTCCATTTCAAATCCTTGCTCCTTAAGGCAAATTGAACTTGTCTCCCACATCTCAGATGACTAATCACTGGGCTAAAAGTTATGAGTGACACTATCACTCCGCATCTAAGTCCTGAAAAATATTTTGGGAGCCAAAACAATTGTTGTGGATTGACATAGATTCATTTCACTCAAAATGTGGTGAAACGTAATTTTTGTGAATTAATTGTCTAAAAAATTATGCAGCACTAATAGACTAGGCTTGAGTGAGGAAACCTAAAAACTGTTCTCTTACTGACATGGGTACTGTCAACTGAATTCTTGCTAACCTGGTGTGTGTGCTGACTTCTGCTGATAGGAATAGACATTTTCAGCAGCTATATTTAAGATGTTATTTGCACAGTTTATTTGAAAATTGTCTTCTGCTTTCAGTTGTCATCTATTCCTGGCTTAGAAGATGTCAAATTTGAAGTATCCAGTGCAAATATGAACAGTGTTACTAATGGTCCAGTTCCACAAGCCACTACAGATCAGCACTCAGTATCTGTGTCTCCTCAGTCGGAAGTAAGTATCAGAGTATAAAGAATATACTACTACATCAAGTGAATGTGGCCTTAAGAATTTGTAGACATTTCCCTTTAACATTTTTCAGAGGTCACGTTTTGGGGGCATTTTCACAATTTCTTTGTCATCTGTGAAATTGTGATTAATACAGGACTTGTGTATCATGGAAGCTTCTTGTAAACCTTGTGAGTCTTTGTCCTTGATACAGACTGTGACAAAGTGATGCAGCCACCTTGTGGCTGGATGTGGTGGCATCAAGGTTCCGCTCTCTATAGCCTTGCTGACCCACCCACTGTTCAGGCCTAAACACGGGTAAAAAAAAAAACCTGACTATTCTGGGTCAGCTGACTTGACATCACAAGTCTCTACTAAATTGTAAAGGCTCAGCCTCAAACCCAAACGTGTACACGGCAATTCTAGTTCTGCAAGTTAGTCAGCTGATTTGGGCCAGCTGTGCCTGTGCTATGTATCTTTCATCCCTGAGTAGATATACCCCACCAGTCAGACTGCCATGTGACCCTGCCATCCAGCCATGTCTCTTTTTAGCCCTAGATGTTTAGGGTAAAACTGAGTCTAGTTCAGCAGCATTGTGTTAGGACTAAAGCCAGTTCCAAGACCTCATGACCCTTGCCTGGGGCCCAGCTGTGTACTAACATTTTTTTTTCAAAATTTGCCACTCTGGTCTGAAAGGGGGTATGGCTGGCTGATGGGAAACAATATCTGACTGCTGGCAGGAACACTCAACAGGCTGAGGGGCTGCTAAGTGCTGCAGGGGAGCAAGGTGCAGGTGTGTGGGTCTCTGAACAGGTTTGTGAGGAAGGTGGCAGGGGGTGCTCTGGACTGGGAAGTGTGTGGGTAGGTGAGGTGTTGAGAACTAGAGGTTGTGATTTTAGATTGACCAGTCCTGCACAGCAGGTCTCAGCTACTTGGCTCCATGTGGCAGGTCCCAGTTACACAGCCCTGTGCCATGGGGTGCAGGAGCTGGTCCCATGCCCAGGGTTCCAATCTTAGCCCCTCTCGGTGAACGGGTCTTTAGGAATAAGGAACTGTGGGGAGCTTTCGTGGCAGGGTCTGTAGTTCTCAAACTGTGGCCCATGTGTTGTGGGCCATATACAATGAATAGGTTGAGAACTACTGCTTTATAGCATGACCAGTTTAAAAAACAATCAGATTGCAAAAGAGTAGAAAATAGACACAAGTACCTAAAGAGTAGTTAATAGATAATGTCCTTTCATGGATAACCTTTTGAGGATAAATGTACAATTTAAAGGCACATGGTCAGTCTATTTTAACATTTTCATTTGCATATATCAGATTAATATTCACATTTCTAAAATGAAACACTTGAAAAATCACAACTTTTTTGCTATAGTCCTTTGAATCAATTGATATGAAATAAAGTTGTTTGAGTGAAACTGAATTGCTTTTGATCAACAACCTGGCAGTTTTTTCATGATTTCTTAATGGGGGGCTAACAAAATTGCCGGATCCCTGGGCCAGGTTGGGGAGGGAGGAGGCTCTATGTTCCCTGAAGGATTGGGGCCTTGGTGGAAAGGGAGGGGCCGAGGCTAGCCTTCCCCTGCCAGCCCTTTAGCACCACCTGGGGGCTCTGGATCATGCCATGCGGGACTTCAGTTGCCACCTGGGTCCTTTTGAATTGCAGGGCCCCTGATCAATTGCCTCTTTCCCCTGCCCCTAAACCTCCCTGAGTCGGCAGGCCTGTTCTTTAAACACACAAACTTTGAATATAATGAATTACTTTGAGTATAATTGATTACTTCTGCCATTGAAAACAGTTTGTCTTTCAAAAATGAATTGTGACAAATACTGTAATGAAAGTAATCCCAAGTGGCAATGTATGTACATATAGAAATATATAGTCTGTTAATTGGTGCAAGCAGGAGCTAACTACTCTATTCTCAAATTTTATTAACTGAACTCTCATTATGTACTCCTAGCTGATGGTGTTGCTCAAGATTTATATACAGTATTCTTTGTATACAGCAGAATAGCATACATGAGAGAGGACAACAGAAAACAGAAGTAGCAGCAGAACATGTCATGACTGTAGCCAAGGATCCAAGATATGCTAGATACCTCAAAATGGTTCAAGTGGTAAGTCTGTTTGATCTTTCTCAACTTTCATTTGAAATTCCTGTTTTTATGATGAAACTGTCATGTATCTGAATATAACTGATAGTTTCTTCGTTTCCAGAGATTTCCTAATGTACACAAACTTGTTATGGTGACTTCTGACTGTTGCACCTACTGATACTTACGGGCAGAAAATTAATTAAGTGGCTGGGATGTCCAGAAAAAGGCGGTATCCCTCCCATTCATCATAGGTTAGCAGTTGCTACATGTTTTCAGCCCAATCTATCTAGTGGATCAGACTGTTCTCAAAATGGAAACAACTTGAAACAAATAGTAACAACACCATTTTCCCTGTGAGTGCTCCACTGAGCACCAGTGGACCCATTTAAGAACCACCATCTTAGATTACGTGTTTAATAGACTAATCAAGTCAACAGTGTGACGCTGTTGCAAACAAAGCAAACATGATTCTGGGATTCATTAACAGGAGTGTTGTGAGCAAGACACGCAAAGTCATTCTTTTGCTCTACTCTGTGCTAATTAGGCCTCATGGAGTATTGTGTTCAGTTCTGGGCACCACGTTTCAAGAAGGATGTGGAGAAATTGGAGAATGTCCAGAGTAGAGCAACAAGAATGATTAAAGGTCTAGAGAACATGATCTATAAAGGAAGACTGAAAGAATTGGGCTTGTTTAGTTTGGAAAGGAGAAGACTGAGAGGGGACATGATAGCGGTTTTCAGGTATCTAAAAGGGTGTCACAAGGAGGAAGGAGAAAAATTGTTCTCCTTGGCCTCTGAGGATAGGCTAAGAAGCAATAGGCTTGAGCTGCAGCAAGGGAGGTTTAGGTTGGACATTAGAAAGTTTTTCCTAACTGTCAAGGTTGTTAAACACTGGAATAAGTTGCCTACGGAGGTTGTAGAATCTCCATCTCTGGAGATATTTAAGAGCAGATTAGATAGACATCTATCTGGGATAGTCTAAACGGTACTGGATCCTGCCATGAGGGCAGGGGACAGGACTCGATGACCTCTCGAGGTCCCTTCCGGTTCTAATGTTCCAGGATTCGATGAATTATTCTTTGGTTTAAGAGAATAATGCTAGGTGGAAACATATTCCTGCTCTTAGTTCCTCCCTCCCAGAGAACATTTCACTGGTCTCCATTATTTTTCTAGCAATTGAAACTTAAATACCTCTTATGAGTTTAACTTGCAGAAAAATAAGTTATAATAAATTTAATTTTAATATATATTGCATTTTTCTGAGATATAAGCCTCGTAGCTCAATTTATACCTTTCTAAAAGCTAGAGTAAATGTTATGATCTCAGGCAAAGTGAAGCATAACACTAAATTTAGTTATGAATCCAAAATTACTACAGGTTGGACCTTTCTAGTTCAGCACTCTCTGGTCCAGCAATATCTGTGGTCCGGCATGATTTTAGTTAGCTGTATGTCCACTTATCATGGGTGTGGCCAAGTTTCCGATGGTCTCATAAAGTTTCTTTACTGTCCTGGCACTCACTGTTCTGTGCTGTTATTTAGTTCTAATTTACTCCTAAATGTCTAAGCAGTGGAAGTGTTGGTAATGCTGCTGGACAATAATGACCTCCTGTGGTTCAACAAATTCTCTGGGTTGGTACCAGTCAGGTCCCGAGGGTGCTAGACTAACAAGGTTCAAGCTGTAGACTATTTACTTGTCTGTTCAAATAGCAACCGTATGCATGCATTGGAGCATATTTCTACTTACTTTCATGACAGTGGTAGCATTATTGAGCTTCACTTTTGATCAGGGAATGATCCAAAAGACCCTTTTGTGTGTTGTTCAACACCAACCACTTATGTGCTTACAGCACCCCTGTGGAAAAAGTAATTGCTGATATGCCATTGAGAACATCTGTAGTAGTAAACTTCACACTTTTGGTTTAGTTACCTTCCTAAGAAACCCATTTCCCATAAGAACAAAACATAAACATACAAATCAGATACCTTAGATTTAGGCTTTATACATTTTGTTTAGTATTTCTGGTTTGGGGCTCTTCAGGATTTGTTAGCAATTTTAGAACTCAGTATAGATCTCCTAAAATTGAGATTTTTTGGGAGCTTTCTCTTTGTTCACTGGTAATGAGTAATCTCTTTGTAATGTGACCTTTTAGTGTATACTAGTAGGGTCTGCATGAACTAATTAATTTACAGTATGTTGGCACACTTTAGAAATCACATTCCCATACTTATGTACAAGTAACCATTCTGTTGTTTGTTCTGTGGGTTTTGGGGTTTTTTTTAGGATAAGCACTGATTTATTTATTTATTTTTAATACTGCCATCACACACATGCAACACAAGTATCTCAATAGCTGTTTTATAGGTAGGAAAGTTTTAAAAAATACAATAAAATTGCAAAGCCATATAAAAGAGCAATTTTGTATCTTATTGGTGATATGTCAGGAAGAAAAATGAGGAAATCCAGCTTCGTTGCTGAAAAATAAAATGTAAATAACAAGTATTTTCCCTAAAATACTCCACCGAACTAGCATTAGCTATTTGTGTTTTAGAGGTGCATATTGGCTTATATTAAAACAGAACAAGCCACTTAATTTATCCATTCTTTCCTCCATTTGAATTAATGGCAAACAAAGGATTCAGTTTGGTGCAGTTTTTGAGATCAAGCACCACCCCTTGGTGCTGTTCCAGAAATTTTCTTTTGATTTTAATTTTTTTTTTTTTTTAGTAACACATTGACAGTTTATGGCTAGCTCTTTACAAGTTATTTGGAACACGTTAGGGCAGGGGTGGGTAATAATTTTTTGATGAGGGGCCGCTCTAAGATATTGGAAAGCTGTCAAGGGCCGCAGTCTTCTATGATATTAATGGAAGAAGCGTGGGGGTCTGGAATGGAGGTTGGGTGCAGAAGGGAGCTTGGGGTAAGGGACTGGGGTGCAGGAGGGAGACTGTAGGCTGGGAGGGAGTTGGGATAAAGTAGGCATTTGTGACCTAGGGCAGGGGACTGGAGTGCAGGGGTTTGGGATGTGACCTAGGGTAATAGAAGATTGTGATCTGGGCCAGGAGATTGGGGTTCCAGATCTGGGAAGGGGGTATGGATTTAAGGAGGGGCGGGGGGCGGAGGGTTTGGTTATGTTGAATGGGGGGGCGG